ATAACTCGTTTTCACCTCCTTCTATAATTACTTTTTTTACCCTTATCTTACTACAAAATTACTCCCCTCCCATCTATGTACTAGTACTATATACTAACCCAAGCCGGTCTACGTATTAAATTTGCGACCCTTTTTTAGTGTTTTACTCACATTATCATTTTTTTTTCTTTTTGTTTGAAACTTTATGATTTTGATTTTCGCAAAGAAATTATCATTCTATTGATATTAAGACCTTCTAAAGTATTTGGTTTACATATTCGCAAAGAAACCCTTCGAAAATTCATATTCAAATTTTTTTCTCAAGCTAACTTTTATAGTTTAATTCGAAACTTTGTTCGAATTTTCAAGTTGTACATGTTGAAAACGGTCTAATTGATGATACTACGTTAACTAATGTAAATAAACCATACAAGTAAACTGGGAGTTGTAGGATTCCGTTCTACCTGCAATGGCATCTATAAATTGATTGGTCATATAAATTTGATAGATCATTTTGGCGGGTCGGGAATGAACAATATTGATCGGAAGAGAGAACGGTTATCTCAATACCAAACCAAAAACATGTGAAGATATATATTCTAAAAAGACAAAAATAACCCTATAGAGAAATTTCAAAAGAGCAAAAGAAACCAACCAAGTTGTTCTTTCCCTCTAATTCTCTTGTTTCTATCATCATTAACATGACGCAATATATGTTACACAACAAATCTCTTTCTTCCTTTTCCCTCACAAAATTATTATTAATTATTATAAAACAACAAATTGAGCTGCAAAATCGGCCGCCATCTAAGCATAAACACAACACAAAGCATGATTGTTGTGTCAGGAGAGAGAGGCATATGTCCCCTTCTCTCTCTCTCTCTAGCTTTTAGGGTTCTATATAAGACACACTATCTTCACTTTGTTCTCTTTGTCCCTCTACCATCCTTACAATATCTCTCTCTCCTTACAACTTCACTTCCTTCTTCTTCAACCCAATTCATACACTCTCTTCCCTAAAAGGTAAC